CGTTTGTGCCTCTCTGTGAGTGGCTCCATCATCCCTTCAGGTGGTTGTGGCCACCAGCTTGTACAGAAGTGAATGATGGTGGTTGTGATCTGTGCAGCTCCAGGAGGCTCTAACTGGACATGCAGAGTTTAAATTTGGACTGAAAATCATCCTTGTTCGTGGCTTAACTTGAGCTTTGTAGAGTACCTTTCCATGCTGTGTCTAGGGCATTGGAGTACAGTTATCTGTGGTACAGACTGCTGTTCAGATATTGGCTCTGCAGCTATTTGGTCCACTTCAGTGTTTGCACCACAACTGGGACACCTGAAGAGGTGATTGGGAAGTTGTGAAGTTGTTGAAGCACCACCTCCTTGTGTCCCTGCCTGGGAGGCTCTAGGGTGTTAATCTAACCTGGGTCTTGTTCATTCTCACTGATGCCTTGTCTGAGAGTGTCGCCTGTGTAAGTCTGGGGGGATCTAGCCCAGGGCCCTTGCTCCCTGCCTGTGCCTGCCCTTCTTCCTCCTCCTGCCACATTTCCTCATGCCCAGTTGCACCGTGGAACTTTCTTTTTGATTCACCGTGTTTTTCACGTTTGCTCTCTTTTCTCTTTTCTCCTCTCTCCTCCCACCCATCTGCCTTGCTGACCAGTTCCTTCACATCATTCACAACATGTCTCAGAGGTGATTGTTTGTACTTCAAGCCATTGTCGAACCTGTTTCCTTCTGCTACTTACCATGTTTTAAGTGGCTTCACGTTGTTGGGCCATTAGTCTGTTTCTCTGCCAGGCTATGGACTCTACAGGCAGCTGTTCCCCCCAACTCCCACCCTCCCCACCCCCCATCCTCAGCAGAGAGGCGGTTGTGAAAGAGTACTTGTTTTCTCAGTTGGCCCACCATCTGGGAAGGAATGTTTGCTTAGGGAAAGAAAGGTAGAAAATGTTTTTCCCAAACCTTTCAAAACCACGTCCGGGTCACAGAGAGTGTGCTCTGCCTCTCAGCCTCAACAGGAGGCCCCTCATCCTCTATTTGCCTTCTGGTTTTTTTGACAAGGTGGTATAATCATACGATGGTTCCTCTATTAAAGGGAGTGTTTCTGTAAGACTCTAGGTTGCCTCTCTTTTCTGACCTGAGCAAATATGGAGAAGCAAAAGGGTGCTGGAGTTGGAAAGGTGTGTGGTTCTCCTAGGCATACAGATAGATGCAGCACCTAGTCCCTTATGTCCCAGTCTGGAGAAAGTCACTTTGGAAGCAACTCTGTGCATCCCATTCCTTCTGGGGAAAAGTGTGATCTCTTCTTAATGAGGTCAGCCTGAGATGTGAACCAGCCGCTAGGAAGTGACACTGCATTATGTCTGTTGGGTTTGTTTTGGGGATACTTTTACAGTTCCTGTAACAGCATCTGCAGGAGTCCCTCAATTCACATAAGAACCACATTTCAACAAGGAGAACCTTGTCCCAGTTTTACCAGAAGTACAAATAACCTCAGTGAGACAGATTGACACAGTGTCTGCGGCGATGGGATCAAGTGTAGCGGGGATTGCAGCATAGGCATAGGACCAGGTAGTGTTTCATTCTGCTGTGCATAGGGTCACTAGGCGTCGGAGGCGACTCGACACTACCTAACAACAGCACAAATAACCTATGAACCTAAAGAACTCTTATTTGAGACAAGTCTAGACTCTGTGGAAGACTGGATAGCTTTGAGGGTTGGGTATAGCAGCAATATACCCCCTGCCTTTGAGTTGATTCTGACTTGTAGCGACCCCCATAGGGTTTCTAGGGTTGTAAATCTGTACAGAATTAGATTGCCTCATCTTCCTCCCACAGAACACATGGTAGGTTTGAACTGCCGACCTTCCGGTGAGCAGCAGAATGCCTAACCCACTGTGCCTTAAGAGCTCCTTAGCAGCAACATCAAACCAAAAAAAACAAACTCACTGCCATCAAGTCAGTTCCAACTTACAGTGACCCCTCTTTGGGTTTCCATGGTGGTATCTCTACGGAAGTAGATTGCCCAGCCTTCCTTCTGAGGAGGGGCTGGTAGGTTTGAGCAGCCAGCAGCATAGTGGCAGAAAAAAAAGAGAGAGGGAATTTTCTTTCCCAGCTCTATGAAAACATTTATCACTATCCAGGCCCAGATGGATAAACCCTAGATGTGTCACAGACAGGGCCATTGTGTTAACGGTTTTTATGTGAAACAATTTTGTAGTTGGGAGAAAGTAGAGTCCTTGAAAAGAACGTGTTGAATTGATTGAGTTTGTTAGACTGATTAGGAAGTTCTTGTTGGTCCATGATATTAGGTGCTGTTGAGTCAGCCCCGACGCCTAGTGACCCTGCACACAGCAGCACAAAGCACTACCCGGTCCTGCACCATCCTCACGATTCTTGCTGTGCTTGAGCCCGTCGTTGTAGCCACTGTGTCAGTCCATCTTGTGAAGGGCCTTCCCTTTTTTCACTGACCCTCCACTATACCAAGAAAGACATCCTTCTCTAGAGAATAGTCCTTCTGACAACATGACCAAAGTAGGTGAGACAGAGTCTGGACATTCTTACTTCTAAGGAGCATGCCAGGTATCCTTCGTCTGGGAAAGATTTGTTGGTTCTTCTGGCAGTCCATGGTATTTTGACTGTTCTTCACCAACACCACAGTTCAAAGTCATCAGCTCTTCTTCCATCTTCCTTATTCATTGTCCAGCTCTCACAGGCATATGAGGCGACTGAAAATATCATGGCTTGGGTTAGGCTCACCTTAGCCTTCAGAGTGACATCTTTGCTCTTCAGCACTTTAAAGAGGTCTTTTGCAGCCAATTTGCTCCGTGCAGTATGACATCTGATTTCTTGACTGCTGCTTCCATGGGTGTTGATTGTGGATACAAGCGAAATGAAATCTTTGACAACTCCACTCTTTTCTCCACTTATTGTGATGCTGCTTATTTGTCCATTTGTGAGGATTTTTATTTTATGTTGAAGTGGAATCCGTACTGAAGACTGTAGTTTTTGATCTTCATCAGTAAGTACTGCAAGTCTTCTTCACTTTCAACAAGCAAGGTTGTGTCATCTGCATATCGCAGGTTATTATTGAGCCTTCCTCCAATCCTGATGCCACGTTCTTCTTTATATGGTCCAGCTTCTCGGATTATTTGCTCAGCATACAGATTGAATAAGTGTGGTCAAAAAATATAACCCTGACACACTCCCTTCCTGATTTTAAACCATGCCATATCCCCTTGTTCCGTTCAAATGACAGCCTCTTGGTCTATGGACAGGTTCCTCATGAGCACAATTAAGTGTTCTGGAACTCTCATTCTTCACAGTATTATCTATAATTTGTTAATGATCCGTACAAGCAAATGCTTTTGCATAGTCAGTATAACACAAGCAAGCATCTTCCTGGTATTCTCTACTTTTAGCCAAGATCCATCTGGCTTCAGCGATGATAGTCCTGTTCCATGTTCTGGCAGTTCCCTGTTAATGTATTGCTGCAACCATGTTTGAATTACCTTCAGCAAAATTTTACTTACATATGATATTAGTTGATATTGTTTGATAGTTGCCACATTCGGTTGGATCACCTTTCTTTGGAATGGGCATAGTGGGGAGACCTAATTGCCTTGTTTCCTATAGTACTTAAGAGAGAGGTTGGGCCTTCATACTCTAGTAAGTATCTATTTTTGGTTTCTCCTGCTAGAGTCACTTAGTTTCTTCATAGATTAAGCGATCTTTAGACACTGTCCAGCTCACATTTTGTTGGGTAAGAAGTTGTCTCCTCATGGACCCCTTTCCTTCTCAAGGGATGTTATGATTCACTCTTATGGAAAAGCCTGGCTTGCTTAGCTCCTCATGTTGTGTGAGACCAAGGTTCTTCCGTTTTTAGACTGTGTGTTCAGTGAACGTCTCTGTGTCACCTGCTCAGTGCCAGGCACAGCAAACAGAGAATAAGGCCCCTGTGCCCCTGGTGGAGCTCACAGATTGAAGGCAGAGGTCATATGCAGACTGACAGGTGTCAGACGGCCTGGCCACATCCTGTAGTAACCAGGGCCTGGGATTTGCAGAAAGCAGCTGGTTCTTTTTTGTCTAGTAGTCAAAGAATCTTTGGCCTAGAAGGTTCCTTCAAAGCTATGTGTTTCTGTCCCATGGCTCAAAAATGATCCACCGTGGGTGGTTATTGTAAATGTCTGTACTGCTGATTAACTTTCTGTTCAGAATGCTAATTATGATACAGATCTTGACCTCAAAATTATCACTATTGTATATATGTGAGGAGCTCTGGTGGTATAGTGCCTAAGGCATTTGACTGCTAACTAGAACGTTGATGGTTCAAATCCACCAGCCACTCCATGGAAAGAAGACTGGGCAGTCTACTTCCATAAAGATTTGCTACCTCGGAAACCCCAGCAGGGGTCGCTATGAGTCCAAATCAACCCAATGGCAGTGAGTTCTGTTTTTTGTTTTTTTTATATATGTGCACCAGAATAAAAATTCTAGTGGTCAAGACAAAAAGAGAGATGTATTAAGGATTATAATAGTCATAGCTGATACTGATTGATTCAGGTACATTGGAGAAGCTCATTTCCTTATTTCTGGGAAATATTTGTAATATTGAAGCACAGAGATGAAGTCGTTTGGCCAAGGTTACACAGCTAGCAAAGGTTCCTGGGTGGCACAAATGGTTAAGCACTCGACTACTAGCCAAAAGGTTGGTGGTTCAAACCCACCCAGAGGCATCTCAGAATACAGCATGGTGATCTGCTTCCGAAAGGTCATAGCCTCAGAAACCCTTGCAAGCAGTTCTACCCTGCACACACGGAGTCACCTTAAATCAGAATCAAGTCAGCAGCAACTAATGACAACATCACACAGCAAGAGAGGCAGATCAGGGCTTGAACCCAGGACTGTCTGCTTCCAGAATTTCACCTTTATACCCACTCTATTTCGAATCACTGTGCTGTGTTCAAGATGGCCTTTTCTGTAAGACTATGAGATTTTCCTAATTGGTGTGTTGTTTTTTTCCCCCTTGTGTAGAGTAACAACATCAGGAGTGATGGAGAACATGAAGAAAGTCAAGAAGGTGACCAATGGTTCTGTGGAGCCTCAGGGCGATTGGGAAGGCACCGCCTGACGGAGCCAGCATCGAGGACAGCACTGTCAAAGAAAACTTTTAATTTATTAATAGTCCTATTGGTGAGCAAAAGCAGTTGGCACCTCCCGACAGTGACACCTCAGAGCGCGTGACTGGGAGCAAAGTGCCATGGAAACCTAATTTTTTCCTCTCTTTTGTGGAAACTGGATCTGTGGCTGGTTATAGGCAGCTAGAGTTCTCTTTCAGGTGGGCATGGTGGTGAGGGGAATAGAGAGAGGAGGAGAAGGATAAAAGGAAGAATTTGTTTTTAATTTTTATATTTCTTTTTTTAAAAAATTAGGAGCCATTAAGGTATATGCATTTGTGACCCCAAATGTATTGCAGGAATGTTGGTGATGGCAGGGGCTGGGTAAAGGAGGATAGGTGGGGTGTCTGTGCTGCCAACCATGGTATAGACGGGGCTTTAGAAAAGGCCAAACAAGGATAAAGGGACTTACAAAGATGGGAATGAGGGAATTCTTTGTATCTTTGGGGGACAAAAATGAATGCAGTTAGATTATTTCAGAAAGCAGAGTAGGAATTACCTTGGTCAAACCCAATTTAGTATGTAGAACTCCTCCCAGGATTTCTGGCCCTGGATGTTGTCCCAGACCTTTATTCCAGAGTCCACACGTAACCAGAAACCAACAGCTTTAGAGGCCCAGTGGTTGTCTTTCCAGGAAGGGCTTTATCATCTGTGGACTATAATGTCACTTTCTGAATCACAGATCCAGCACACGGTCCAGTCAGAATTCCTTTTCTTTGTTGAGATGTATTCTGTGTTGCCTGGTGGATGGAAAGAAATGTGTTTTTGAGTTCAAAAAGCATTCTTCAAAAGATTTTTCTGAACATCTGGCTTCCCTGCCTGCCCAGAGCAACACTATCTCTTGTTTCCCCTCTCCTCTTGAGGTTTGTGTATCTTGCGTGATCAGAATGTGGAGAAAAAATGGAAAGGAATTTTGCCTATCTCAGGAGCAGCTGGGAGCTGAAAAGGTAGTGTTTAACCAAATTCTTAAACATGAGCAAGTCATCCTCTTTAAAAAGCATCTCATGTAAGCGAAATAGGAGTTCTAAGTAGAGGAATTAACAGACATGGTCCCTGTATTACAAAATGATGTATGTGAGGACAGTGAGTGTGTTTAACAGAGATTGACTCTCAGGGATTTTTAGATGGTAAAATCTTTCACAGAAACTCAGTGAGGTTCCCTTCCAGACTTTGAGAGCATGAAGATGAACATGGATCGTTTCCTAAAGTGAACAGTATTGCGACGCTTAGATAGTCATTTGAGTAATGAGGCAAGTTCAGCAGGTCTGCTGAGCTGAAGGCTTACCAGCGCTTTGTGGTCATTTCCCATGAGGTTTTTGGTAGCCGAGGCCTGAGACAGGAGACCAAAATGTAGCTCTATCAGGAACACCTAATGCTTGGGGCGCCAGCTCAGTGGCATAGCTTCCGGTGCCCAGGTGTGTCAGAAGCTAGAGCCCACCCTTGCCTGGGCTTGTCAGTGAGCCAGACCTGTAGGAGACAGGAACCCCATGGGGAGCAGACAGTGACCGTCTCTGGGACTGACTTTCTCATCTCCAAGATGGAAAGATAAGGCAGAAACAGCAGATTTGGGACCCTGAAAAGTCTTTGCTCAGAAAACAGCTATTTTCCTTCTCCTGTACCATTTTCTCTTTCTTCCTGAGTGGCCAGTGAGGAAGCACTTGTCTTTATGTACTTTTGTTAGGCATCTGCTCTGTCCAGCCCAACCTCCACAGTCTTGGTTTGACCAAGCACAGAGAAGAGCAGGCACTTTCCAAAGCCTCACTATCCACCTCTCTGCAGATATTTTAGAAAAGCGTTCATCTATCACCTTCTTTTGGAGATGCTTCGGTACATAATAATTTACTCTTAAGGATTAATTTAAGGGACCGTTTTTTCTTTTAAATTAACTTAGAGACTTTGTCACTGCAGAAACAGGTCTCACACTGTGACCACCAAAACTCGCTTAGGTACTTCCCTCAGAAGGATGCATGTGCTGTTTCTCCTGCAGGCAGATGTTGATGAAGCAATAGACTTCTTGGCAAGAACAAAGATGGGTGAAGCCTTCCCACTAGGAAGGGTCTCCACAGAGCTGTCCTCATTCCATGTGCTTGATTCTCAAAACAAAGAAGCTGGTGAGTGAATGAGAGGAAGAATGGGAATGTGTGTGTGTGTGTGTGTGTGGACAGGTGCTGACTTTCCACCTGGACAGCTCCATCTCAGGAGGCCAGCTGCTGCTGCTGCCCCTGCCTCCTTCACTGGCGGATAGGCACCTCAGCAGAGTCTTGGGAACGTGTGAACCGAGTGTCGGGCTTCTCTGGGAGTTCTTTAAATCCCATACATGCCTCTAGGCTCATTCACAGAATTGCTGAATCGCTGCATTTTTGCAGCCCTGCCCCTTCTAGAGCAGGAGTGTACAATAGAGATACAACTTGTTGTTGTTGTTAGATGCTGGGAATCAGCTCTGACTCATAGAACATAACAAAACACTGTCCGCTCCTGCGCCATCTCACGATCTTGGCTGTGCCTGAACCTATCGTTGCAACCACTGTATCAACCCATCTCATTGAGGGTCTGTCTGCCCTTTATTTTTTTGCTGGCCCTCTACTGAGATACAGTAGTGTTCTGGAAATAAAGACTGACCATGACCACAGTCTTTCTTAACAAGAGGTCATTTGTCCATGTCCTGTATTGTAACTGGTAAAAGGTTTGAAGTTAGGCCAACGATTAAGAAAAAAATTGAAAACCCAGTCAGAGATTGGGAAAACAAATGGTGGTTCAAGTTTTTAAAAATTGTTTAAGCTTTCTTTTCTGTTCAGTAAATTGTTCCTCTCTTTCTCCATCACTTCATAGCTGTGACCCACCATTCAGCTCTGTTCCTGAGTAAAGCTGACTGGTTGAGGTCCAAAGCCAAGTAGTGTCACCAGCCACCTACCCTCCTGCAGCCTGATTTTAACAGTCCGCTTGGGTGCATTGTGATACAGTGTTTGAATGGTTAAACCTCCAGTTGGGCTGGTGCATATTGCAGAGAGATTGGTGTATTTATAGCTGTGCTTTGTACTCCTCCTCCCTGTTTCTGCCTACACAGAATACCCATGTTTCTTTTGAGAAATCTGTCGTGGACACGAAGTGCTGTTGGCTATGAAATTTGAGGAAGTGAAGGGTCTTGTTTTCCTTTAATAAAATGTGTATATTTTGGTAGAACATTACTTCTTGGACAACAAAAACAGTAACTGATCTCTGAATTCTGGCTCTTCACAGTGGCCAAGGGCTCAGCCAGCCTTGCTCTGTCCCTCGGTGCTTTGACATTTCAGTAGCAATGCATTTCTTGCTGCCGAGAATTACTCGGCTGAGTTGGCTCTTTCCAGTATGGAGAAGCTTGCTCTAATTAGAGTAAAAAGGTGATTTCTTAGACCATGGACTGAGTCGGTTCAGTTTTCTTTCAAAAAACCACTTTATAGTAAAATTTCCAGGGTTTTTTTTCCCCCGTGGAATGTCCAGCCTGCCAAGGAAGCACAGGGCTTAACCATAGGCCAGCCGCTTTGTTTGACTGTTAGAGCAAGCTATCCTTTCCCGTGTATGATCTCATCGCGATCTCTGCACTCTGCTTGCTCCCAGTCTGCCCTCCTTCCCTCCTCCCACCCTTCTGCACCCCTCCTCCGCACCTCCTCCTCCACCCTCTGCCTGAGCTTATTGATTGAGAGCTTCACAGAGGCTGGGGCTGGGAATGCGGGCTAAAGGCTGTGGTGCATTGCGGCATTTTCTCCCAGCAGCTCTGTGAATTCCTCTAAGCTAAGGAGAGTTTTGTCCAGAGAGAGTGCATACCAATGCCGTATCTTACTACTTCGGACTGTAGATGCTGTTCTTTCCCAACACTAAGATAAACATCTTGTTCTGGACTTAAAAGGATCTGCTGTAAGGAACAGTCCTTACAGACCAAGGAAGAGTGTGAAAGATGCCTGTTTGAATTGTGCATGGTATTCTGGCCATCTCCCCATTCTAAAGCATTTTCTTCAAGGAAGGCTCTTAGAACATTAGACAGTCTGATGAGATTGTTGGCCCTGCTCCATACACCCAGTAGAATGGCAGAATCATTCATGCTTCACACGGCTAGGCTGTTGAATTTCAAAGGAAATAGCTCCTGCACCACTTCTCCATCTCTTTTCCACACTCCACACCTCACCCCTTTGCTTTTCTCTACCCTACACCTGGCCTTTTAATGCAGACTCAGGATATACCGAGTCTAGGATGCTGCTGCTTTTTGTTCTCCTTTTAGAATTCAGTAAGTTAATAGCTTCCCTGCTAAAGAAGTTAGACTTTGACTCATTACCTCTTGGTATATTAAAAAGGTATTCATCTGGAACATACCAAATGCTCTAAAAGATCTGCGCTTTACCTCAGTTTTCCCTGGGGTGTTTTTGGCAGGGACTCTTTAAAAGACATTCACCTGAGTTGACACTAACATTAGTTACCACCTGGAACGCAGTTGTTGATCAGCAAATTGAACATTCTCCAGATTGCCCGGGGGCCTCTTTCGTAGCCCAGCAATGCACCTGTGCCCTCTGCATGGCTTATGCTTGAGCAGTAGATAATGTCTTTGGATGACTCAGTGCTGGGGTATGGGAGACGCAGGAGGAAGCACGCTGAGAAAGTGGGGCAAGGTGGCGGGGGAGCGAGGCTTTGCTCATGTGGAATCGGGGCTTTGTTGGACTTGTGAGGGTAAGAAGCCTGCAGACAGGCCATGTGGGAAGGAGGGTTTCTGGATGAAGTTAGTAAAGGTCAAAGACAGAAGAGCTCACTTACCCCAAGGACAGTGAGTTTCTTTTCACCCAAGGTTTGAGGTTTTGTAGTGGGCAGCCAAATGAGATGGGGGAGGGGGAGAGTGGGTCAGCCTTCTTAACATTTAAGATATTATTACAGAAGGGTCTAAAAATCTTGTCCACAAGGGATTTTCCTGACTCCTTCAGCAGCTTTTGCC